TATTTTTGACATCCATGTTCTCGTTTGATTAACAATGAAAAATAATAAATTAAAGTTTAAAATAAAAGTAATAATCTTAAAGTATGGAAAGAAGATTGATAAGTTCGGTAAATTGAATAAAATTTAATTCACAAATTGAAAAATAAAGAAGTATCGTTGTAAATCATGGTGATTAATCTATTATTTTGAAACAATTATTATGATTTTGCAAAATATTTAATACGTTTTGATGATATTTAGAACGTTGTTTAAGAATAAATTATTTAAAAATATTCATATCGTATAATGTTATATAAATTGATTGACATATAAAATTGTTGACCATCATATATAAAAAATCTATTTTAAAATTTAAATGGAATTTTAAATTAGAATGAAATAAGCAATAGTACCTATTACGATTACGACACATACAGTAGGTTATATTTATTTATTAATGATATAAAATATTAATAAAATTAACAAAAATAATATAGTTGGATTTATTTGTTTGACATATGAGTTACTTGGCAAAATAACACAAGTAAATAATGAGTATTTTATATTCAGTTATTAACAAAATAAGTAATTATAAAATATTAAAATATATTTATTATATTTTGCTTTTGTTTTTATATAGCAAACTAAGTAATGTTGTATTTATATAAGTATTATTACACTATTTTTTGTAATGATAAAACAATTCACAACATAAATTAAGAAAAATAATATAATGAAATATATATATATATATATATATATATATATATATATATATATATATATATATATATATATATATTGCATTATTAACAAAATCATGTAATATAAGAAAATTAGGGGGTTAGAAATGTAAATACTTTAAAATAGAAGGTGTTATATAGCTAATTGTGGAGTACGTTCTTTTTTTTTTTTTTTAAACCGGAAAATAAAAATATATAATCTACTTCTAAACTACACCCTAACTCCACATATGTCCACAACTTGGTCTTGAACCCTCAACCTCAAAAACGCACCATATGATTACCACCGGAAGCCTTGGGTAATGTTTTCGTCGGTACAATCTCCTAGAAATGTCGGTGATATCTGAACAAGATAAAAAGATTAACAAAATGAAGATGATGGAGAAGAGTATTTAGAAGACAATGATGGTTTCCAATAAATGATGACCTATTCGGAAGCTACCTATTCAGCAGGATAACACAATGACACAACTGCTAACAAAGAGAAGAAGAGGAATTTCGGATGCAAGTATACATATTTTTACTGAAATTAAACGGATTATAATCGATTCTTAGTCTGAGATTTTTTTAGGATTTGCGTTTCAAATCTTGGCATATTTTTCATAAATTTGTTTGATTCGCTCTTGACTTTTCTAAATAATGATAATTTTAGTTAGTGGCATTAATCTGGATGCATTTGTTATTTGCAAGGATTTGTAGGAGCTTATAAACGAGTTGTGGTCAAACGTGTCGTGGATAGCATGACTATCAATTTAAGATCAAGTTGTTTCAAAATAACTGATGTTGCTAATGTGCATTGAATTGTAATTTTTTCTGACTCTATAATCGTTTAGTTGTAATAGAGTTGAGGTTTGGCCGGAATTGGAATCCAATTCCATTCCATTATGGCATTGATTGCAAATGAGTACCAAACTGAATCTAATTGAAATTCACAAATCCTTTGATATGTGGATTTCAACATTATGTCCTAAAATCTATGAATTCCAATTTACTCACATACCCTTTTGTTTTCAAAAGGATAACATATATTTTTTAATGTATATTTTACATAAAAATAGTAAATGTATGAAAAAAACATAAACTAACCATCTTATCTTTTTAAGCAAGTGAGTGCATACTATTATTATGTTCTTATTGGTTAAATAATGCAATGTTTAATGAATAATGTTTGTGTTTTATATACTTTTTTTCTTTCTATTTTCAAACTCTTGCGTGAAGGGTAGAGTGCATGTAAGTGGACTCTTAATTATTTTCTTATTTTAAAGTGAAGTGGAATTCAAAAAATAAATAATATATGTTTTGTGCAAATGTTACGGGATGTCAAAACTACAATTCAATATCAAAACCATGGCAGGAATATAGTGGTGAGTACAAAAAAAATTTCAGTTAACATTGTGTTTATATATATTTTTAAGTAATAATTAAAATTTGAGATCTTTGTCTCTATGTTGTAGTGTTGGTAACAACCATAAAAAACCAAATTACCCATTTTTGTCCTTTATTATTTCAATCGCACCAAGTCATTTACCATTAGAGTAAAATAAACGATTAATATAAACGTTTTCTTATGAAAATGTTAGGACACAAAAGTATTATGTTATAATATGCTAATAAGACATGAAAATGTTACACCACAAAAGTATTATGTTATAATATACTAATAAGACCTATTTTGCATTGCCTTTTTTGCCCTTTAAAGGCAAAAAGGATAATCATGCCCTTTTATATTAATCTTTTATTTCTCAATAGAAAAAAACATGTCCCTTTTCTATTATGTCCGGAACTATCAGCAAAATATCTATATTAGTATAGTAGATGATTTTAGATCATTCATTTGGTAAATAGACATAGCAAAAAGTAAATTGGTCATTTCCCCTTTGAGTAAAAAATGAAAAAATTAAACATTATTTAAAATGGCTTTTACAAAATTGTTACAACATAAAAGTAAGACACTGTAATATGCTAATAAGACAATAACAAAAGTAAATTGCCCTAAATGTTGCTTTGAGTTAACAAATGAAAAAATCAAACTTTCTGTTAAAAAATAGAAACATATATTATACAAAGTAGAGTATTTTTTGGCTTGACGATAAAAAAAGTATGAATTTTAGGGGTATATTTTTGAAGTTTTTCTTTATTTTTATTTTTTGTTTTTTCTTTTCTATAAAATATGTAAAATTTCAAGGGCAAATCAGTCACACAGTAAAAATCATACTATCTTATGGAAAATTGTTATTTTTTTTAGAAAGTACAATGCTATATGATACATATTTTCTAAAGTTCCATTGTTTAATTTAATTTATCTATATAAAATGGAGAAAAAAATGAGATGGCATAAATATGTGTTATTTTAAAGTAGTTTTTTTAGTAGGGGCAAAACAGTGAAATTCGTGGTCTCATTTGTTTTTTTTATAACATCATTCTTATAATTAGATTTGAAGAAAAAGAAAGATAACCTTGCAAAAAAATTTTTTTATCAAAGTACAATGCTATTTTTTGCTTACATTTAAAGTTTTATTTACTTATAATTTTTTTTTCTACATATAACATTTAGAATGATAAATTACAATGTTAATAAATGATAAATTACAATTTTAATAACAAAAGTGGTTATAATGAAACAAACTTAACATGGAATGGAACCTTGAATTACTATTACGGTTTTCCATGGTTCATTCCTCGAAAAAAAAGTAACAAAAGGAGAAGAAATATCCTAACAGAGGGAGAAGAAAAAAAAATAAAGTAAATAGCATATTACAAATCACATAAACATAAAGCAATTAATGATCAAGTTTGTATTTTGATTGAGTTTTTTTCGAGAACTAAAGCTTGTTGGCAGGAATTAGAGTGTAAAGATTATAAAAAGGCATTTTTGGTATAATTAATTCTTTTATGCTGAAAAATACACTATTGATGATGTTATTTTATTAAAAAACTGGAAGTTATAAAGAAAGAGGAGGGTGATATATGTCGTATGGTTTCTCCTACATAATCAAAGTAGGATGATATATGAAACTCAATTCCTCAAAATAAGTAAGAGATTGAGAAGAAGAATTGTAACAGAAGGAGAAGAAAAAGAAACAGAGTGAATAAGTTTTTATATATCACAAAAACACAAATAACTAAGATATTTTTTTTGTAGACTAAACAGATGGAGATATACCTTCGGTAGTCTGTAGAGATAGAAGAATTCTTGAATACAGGTTCCAAGACTTGAATGAAGAAACGAAGAAGATATCAATCACAAAATCAATATTTGTAAGTTGGAGGATTATGATTAGCTGATTTTAAGGGATTACATATCTCCATTAAAGTTTGAAAATTTTCTTTTACATGTATAATACATAATTTGAATGCAGTGTAAAACTAATTGAAAACTAATTTTCTTAATCTTAGGAGATGAGTTATTGGCAATTGAATAATCGCATGAGAGGGAAAATCAATCCAAGAGTTTTCTGTGAAGGAAACGTGACAAGTAGGATGTGCAAACGAGGAGCACGTGGCATACAAAGTACTCTTTTATTAAGAATAAACAAATGGAGATATACCTTCGGTAGTCTGTAGAGATAGAAGAATTCTTGAATACAGGTTCCAAAACTTGAATGAAGAAGCGAAGAAGATATCAACCACAAAATCAATATTTGTAAGTTGGAGGATTATGATTAGATGATTTTAAGGGATTGCATATCTCCATTAAAGTTTGAAAATTTTCTTTTACATGTATAATACGTAATTTGAATGTAGTGTAAAACTAATTGAAAACTAATTTCCTTAGTCTTAGGAGATGAGTTATTGACAATTGAATAATCGAATGAGCGGGAAAATCAATCTAAGAGTTTTCTGTGAAGAACACGTGGCAAGTAGGAGATGCAAAAGAGGGACACGTGGCATGCAAAATACTATTTTATTAAGAATAGATGTACAATACTAATATATATATATATATATATATATATATATATATATATATATATATATATAACTTTATTTATTTTTATATTAAAAATAAATAGTTTATTTGTTTTAAAAGAAATTATTTATTTTTAGTATTTAATAAATTTTAATAGAATAAAAAAAATAATTCTAATTATATGGATTAGGATGTTTAAATTAGTCGAAAAGGTCGTAAAAGTAGGGTAGTCACTATTCAGCATTCACAATACGACCAAAACCCTGAAATTTATGAATCCATTAAAATCGGTACAAAGCATCTAGCTATAAAGCAAACACCTCTTTTCATCTATATCTTTAACACAGAAGAAGCATCAATCGACAATCATGGATGTGCCACTGTTGGAGACACTTAAAGAGGCCATACCCGCATACACAGGACTATCTCCGACGACTTTCGCCACTGTAGTCGCTTTGGGTCTCGCCGGCTTCTATGTCGCCTACGGTATGTTCGGTGGATCCTCCGATTGTCATCCGCAACAAAGCTCTAGATCACTCCACGAAGAAGAATCGCAGCCTCTCCCGCCGCCGGTTCAGCTCGGCGAGATTTCCGAGGAGGAGTTGAAAGCCTACGACGGCAACGATTCTAACAAGCCTCTCCTTATGGCGATCAAGGGTCAAATCTACGATGTCTCACAAAGCAGGTATATTATTATTATCACCATAGAATTTCACTTTTCTGATTTGATTTCGGTCGTACGTTTGGCTTTAAGACGACGAATTCTGTTGACTTGAGGAATGTGTATAATCAAAATTAGGGTTCTTAATTCGATTCTTAAGCTTATGATTTGGGCATTCGTGAAGAAGCTACAATTTGTGAATAAAGTACTGATTTTTGATAACCCTTTTGATTTCTTGCAGGATGTTCTATGGACCAGGTGGACCATATGCGTTGTTTGCAGGGAAGGATGCAAGTAGAGCTCTTGCAAAAATGTCATTTGAAGATAAAGATTTAAATGGTGATCTCACTGGTCTTGGTGTATTTGAGCTTGAAGCCTTACAAGATTGGGAATACAAGTTCATGAGTAAGTATGTCAAAGTTGGTACAATTAAGAATCCAGAATCTGCAACCGAGTCGTCGTCTACTACACCTGTTCAACCAGCTGAGTCAACTCAACCTGAGTCAACTCCAGATGACCATGTTTCGCAGAGTACAGAAATAGCAGCGGGTGAAACCAAGGAAGAGACAACAGGTGAAGACGATAAACATGAGTGACTTTCTTTGTGATGCCTTGAGGAATTTGTAGTATATGGGTGTCCATGATTGTGACTTCTTGTATGTTATAATAGTTGTATTATTTGGCATAATATGATGATTATGATATGTTACCTTTTTTTTTCTTTCCAAAATGAATGATGCGTTTGTTGTGTAGATTTTTAGTTGTCTTTCTGTGTAAAAAGTGTTGATTTTTGTTATAGACTTACTAGGTGTTTGTTTGTTTCATTTTTTTTTTTTTTGGCAAAAGCAAAGCTCTTTTGATCTTTTATGTAGTAGGGAAGACATTTGGTAAAAAGTCTTTGTAAAATAGCTTCTGATTTTGAAAGATGATTTCTAATTTTAAGCATAATATGATATTTCTTTTTTCCACTTGCGCCACCACCGTTGCCATCGACGTCATCTATGCCACCACACCTACCTCTGCCACTACTATCATCATCACCACCACTATTCTTTTTTATGGAGACTTTAAAAAAAAGATAATTCTTTTATGAAGATCAAAGTCATGGAAAAATATTTTTGGTCCATGTTTTATTCGCAAACATAAAAATAGATTGAAGATATTTAACCTTATCCAAAACAAACACCCCCTTATAGTAACAAAATTTTGTAGATTGATTTCGGTTAACACACAATAACATACCTATGTTCTATTAGAATGGTGTAAAAGAGGTAAAATACAAATTGTTTCCATTGATGACCTCTAACATAAGAAAAAAAAAATGAGTCCAGACTCGATGATCTCCCGCATAAGCATGTAATGAAGAATAAACAGCATTGTGTGACCAAAGAAAAAGAAAGCAGATGATCTCTTTTATTTAATGAAGAATAAACAGTATTGTGTGACTAAAGAAAAAAAAAACAGATACTAGCAATAAAGTTGAAAGTAAAGAAGAACATGATAAGAAGTTAAAAAAATGGATGGATACAATAGTGAAAAAGAATACTAGCAAAACAAGCTCAAATTATAAACAAACAAGCTCAAACTATAAAATATAAGTATTGAAAACAATTACTAACAATAAGTCATAAATGGCACTAGCAAAACAAGCTTAAAGCAATAAAAATAAGTGGCAAACGCAAACATTAGAAAGGAAGCTAGACATATGCAATTAATAAACATAGAAAATGTTGTCAAATGAAACATTTGTTAATCAAAATCCATATAGTATTGCAACTTTGTTGAATATTCCCTTTTATATAGGAGGAATCATTAATTCATGATACAAAAAACTTAGGTTTTACTACAAAATATCTAGTTTATTATGCATTGAAAATAATAAATCCTTCAAAAAAAAAAAACCTTAAAGAACTTGAATATGATGAGGATGTTAATATGTGCCCTAAAATATGACAAATTGGAGTAAACTAGAGGGATTCAACAATCTCGATTCCTACTCTAAGCATGCCAAAATTATTGTAGTACTTATAAATATATTTTTTTTCCTAATTAAACTAATATCTTATATCTCCCATGTTCTATTATTTCTATGGCATTATTATATGAAACTAGTGGTGGTCAACTAAGGATAAAACAAGGTCATTAAGGTAATTTTATAGCAATCGAGTCAAATTTGATTCTATACAATGTCTCTCTCTCCTTGTCCAACTGTTTCTGTCTCTTCTATTATAAATACATCACAATTTCAAGAACCCTTTTCATATTTCCTCAATCTCAACATAAAAGTCACATCTTTTGAAGCATGAAACGATTCTCAGTTCTTATTTTGATGATCTTGATCGCAAGTTTCCATTTTGGGAATTGCAGAATGATGACGGAAGTCGATCAAGAGTCGCACCAAAGATTGTTATCAAGAAAGTTTCTTTTTTCTTATAAGAGGCAACAAAGAACAAGTTCTTATCAATATCGTTTCAAGCAATTTCAGAGCAACAATGGCGGATCATTGAATGAATCTGAACAAACTGTTCCAGGTGGACCAAACCCACTTCATAATTGATGCGATTTTTGTGCAAAATTGCATTCTTGTAATAGGATATAGAATTAGCCACGTGTCAATGTCTTATTCTTTTTTTTTCTTTCGTATGAGACAATCCATGTATTATAGATATAGATTACACATGATGCAGAATTTAATGTATATCGTATGAATCATAAAAGGTGTTTTTGTGATTTTATTGTTTCAAATTCACAAGAAATCTGTTGGTTTTCAAGGAAATATGTAGAATCATGAACGATCATTTCAACATTATGTTCTCAATCAAGAACATCAAAATCTGCATGAAATTCGTGATAGAATTCGGAATTTTTTCAAAGATAATATGAATCCATTGACTTTTGTAACAAGATAAATTAATTCGAAAGAAAAAAACGAATACAAAGACTTGGTTGGATGCATGCAAGTACGCAAAAAGGACATCTCATAATTCAATTTATTCAAATGATTTGAAGTCAAATCCAGCTAATATAACCAAGAAATTTCATCTAAAATCTAAATAAAACATATAAAATGGTAAATCAAGATTTCCCATTTTTTTAAAGTTTGAATTCGATTGCTATGTAGGAAAAAGAACGTGAATCGCAGGTTGATCACACTAGGCAGCTGTTTATACTAAGATGACAGATGAATACGTTGACTTTAAACTTTAAAGTCAACACACAATAATGTGTATTATTATTATTATTATTATTATTATTATTATAGAAATAAAGTAAAAAGGAGGGGATCGGTTAGTGAAAATTCTAATCTTTTCAAAAAAATATTTATATTATCTATTTAGACAAAATTACATAAATGGTACTTATATTTGGCAAAACATACCGAGTTTGTTCCTTATAAGGAATTTAATTATTGCAAATATGATCCTTAAGTTTGAAATTAATTACAAGAACCATTCGTGTAATGGATTTCAAACTCAGAGACCATCTCTACAATAAATTCCAAATAAAAACCAAAATTGGTACCTTTTTCGAAGTACGAGGACCATTTATGTAACTTTTCCATTTATTTATTTATTCGCCATTCTTAGCTAAGCCTGTTTTCAGAATCTAAAAATAGTTCGCAGCCTGCAATATGACATCAAGCTGCCGGCTGTACTTTGAAGGTCGACACTATTCATCGGAAAGCTACAATGTTGTTTGGATTCATCCACTTTTAACTTTTTCTTGTGTTTTCCTCATGGCATATTCGTAAATGTTCGCAAAAAAAGCTGAAAAAACGATTTAAAAAATATGAATTCTTTATATAAAAATCATATCTAAGTGTCCGACTATTCAAATTTTTAATAAACGGAATGAACGCATGCTCACCAAATGGCCTGCTTAAGTTCAAATTATAATTTTATGGATTAATTCCGTGAATCATGAACACCATGATTTGTAAAATAAATGTCAACTTTTAAAAAAGTCCAAGATAATGCCTGAGTTGATAAGCATGCTGAAAAGATGTGGTATTGAGGTCCTTTTAATGCTTAATTACACTTAAATTATAAAAGTCTACTCTTTATATTATTACCAAAAATGCAAGATGTCACAAGAAAATAACATGTTAATTCTGGTAAGGTTGACCTTTTTATACCCAGATGAAATTTCCTTATAAATATAGACTTGTTTAACAACCTAAAGCCACAAACCATATTTCTTAAATCTTTATCGTCTTTTTCATCCCTTTTCCCTCAAAGATGAAGCTTCAAGTTTCTGGTTTGAGTTTTATATTGATCTTCTTTCTTTTAGTTGATATGTCGAGTTGCAGAAACATGGTTGACCGGTCAACAAACAGATTGAAGAATGAAGAAAGAATAAGAGATAAGTTTGTTTCTACGTTTCAGCGACACTTTCACACAAAACCGGAGTTTAAGAATGAAGGCAATAGTGAGGATGCTTATTACAAAGTCTCTCATCGGCTTGTACCTGGTGGACCAAATCCGCTTCATAATTGATGATAAATGTTCTTGTGTTTATATGTAGAATTATTTGATTCTTTTTTGGTATAATTTGTTTAGTGGAATTGAGATTTTGAATCCAAGTATTGATTGCCATTTGTATGTGTATTTTCATCAATGGAAGAAGTACTTTGTGACTCGCTTTTTGGTCTTTCATGCGTATGTGTTCTGGATATTGGTAAACGGGTCGGGATATGATATGGGTCGGGTTGCTTTTATACCGATTTTTTTATAGGATTGGTTAAAGACGAAAAATAATGGAAAGAACCAAAAGTCAATTGGTGGGTCTTATGAGTTATGAGTAGTTTTAAATAAATGGCATCTATTAAGTAGTTATTTAATGTTTTAAACCTTTCAAAACCCCAAAAGTCCATTTCATTCTAGGAGGTATTCTAGGCTTTCATCTTTACATTTAAAGTTCACATTGTTTTGTTAAAAATGGGAACCAAGTTCTTATCAAACCTATCGAATTATTCAAGCTCTTGACTTATGCTTATTCAATGTATGTATGTGGGCTTCTTGATTTTTAGTACAAAATGAGTAATTGAGGATGAAAGTAAACTCTAATGTATATAAAGGTAGATGATGTCATGATATCATGTCTAATGAGATGATGACATGTGTGGTTGATCATTCCTTGAGGTGTTAAATGCATGCAGTGTAGATTTATAAAGTCATTGATTTTCTCTAATAATAGATTACAACATACATAAACTTGAATGAAATCATTTCTAGTTAGAGTATGACTCATACAAGCAACCATAGATTTAAAAATAGTCAAGTTTAAATCGTTATCTAGTCGAAATCGAGTCTTTACTTGAAAGAACCCTTCAAGCCATATCAATGCACATATTTCAAAGCATTTAACTTGAAGCAAATAACAACTATTTTTGACTTTTAAACATCTTCATTCTCCTATATAGAGTCGTGTGAGTTTTATCAAAATAGCTAATCTCAAAGAAAATACACCACAATATGCATCTTTAGAAGGAAGTTACCATAAAGACTTTTTCTTGAAATTATCCTAAAAAATCAATTTTTTTTAGTCAAATAAAGAGGCCACACAGTTAGAGTGACTGTGTCATCTCCTACACGTTTAACGTTTTGGAATGGGGTGGTGGGATTCACCTTTTCCCCAATTTGGTGACCCTCAAGGCCCTGTGTACACGTGTTTTCATATACCCTCTCTTTGTCGCACTCTCGACACTTTCATTATCTAAAACCTAAAAATCAATTATACGAGTTTGTTCTCTTTAGGAGCGCAGCAAAAGGAGCTACCCCAATTCGATCGGTGGTTGTTTTTTCAGTTTTCAGTTACAGATCGCTGAAGCACACCAGGTGTTTGTGAAATGTCGCCAGTGAAGTCGCCGCAGGAGCTCAGTACTCCGGATATTGCGAAAAAAGATAAGGTCAGCGTCTCAGCGAGTCTAATTAGGGTTCCGAACTTATCTTTTTCTTTGTCGGGCATAACCCATCATCAATCCAATATCTTTAATCCCCTGTTCCGAAATCCCAAACCTTGTTCATAAAATTTAGGGTTTTCTATTAACTAGTTACTCAAATGTAGTTTCTTAATCCTATTGGTAAATCTTCGGGTTTAGATTAAGTAGTTTAGTTCCTCATATCAGTTTCTTAATCTTATTAGGGTTCCTATCCCAGACACCGCGTTGTAACATTTTGACTATTAATTCTGCGTGATTCTCAATCGCATGCTTGATTATTTTGAGATTAAGTTCTAATATTTTCAAGAATCTAGCTTGTAGTTAAGAAGGGTGAAGAAGAAGAACTTCCTCCAGGGTGGAAGGTCGAAGTGAAAACACGAACAGGAGTAAACGGGATAAAAAAAGATCGGGTACTTTGATCCTAACTATCTTTCTATCTTTTATCATTTAACAAAGGGACAAAACAGTAATTCTTTCATCACCATCTTTCTATCATCCATGCTTCCAGTACTACACAGATCCGGCCACCGGATACGTATTCCGATCACTCGTAGACGTCCACCGCTATCTCAAAACCGGAGATGTGGGTCCACGAGCAAAAAAACCCAAAATCACCGGTAACAAATTTTCACCTTCAAATCGTTATTTTCACCACATCTCGTACCTAAAATTTGTTTCTGATTTGTCGCCTCAAATAACAGATAAAAAAATCGTTGAACAAAGCGAATCAAAGGAACAAACAATTGTTTCTTCTAGTCCTTTGAGTGAAACTCCAAATAATAATAAGCGATCACTAGAAGATAAATCAGCGACAAGAAGCAAATCTGAGTTACCTCAACGTGCTTCAAAAAGACTAGCCAGAGTCACCATTGATGCACCACCACCACCACCACCACCACCATCGTCACCACCACCACCACCATCATCATCACCGCCGCCGCCGCCAGAGCCTAAAACACGTAAGGCTACACGATTATCCGGCATCAAAACTGATGCACCACCACCACCACCATCGCAATCACCGCCAGTGCCTAAAACTAGACAAGCTAAACGGCAAGCTGCAATGGAAATTGAAGCACCGGTAACAACACCACCAGCACCACCGCCACTGCCGCCATCATCACCGCCAGAACCCAAAACCAGTCCTCAAGTAACCGCTAGACAGGCGGAGGAATCACAAACCCAGCCACCTGTTGTTTTGGCTATTTCAAAAGAGAAAGACAAGAAATCTGAACCACAAAAGATCAAAGACAATGATGGAATTGAAAATGCTGACATGGCATCCAAGCGTGTAGTAGCAACTCAAGAAAATCTTGAAAAGGTTAAATCTAAGTCTAATAAGAATCAAGAATCACGTACTGTATTGAGCCACCCTATCCCTGAAAAACAACCAGTGGAATCGGAATCACTGATTCCGATTCCAGTGGAATCGGAATCTGTGATTCCGATTCCAATGACTGATTCCCATTCCCATTCCCACCACAAGAAACAAGAATCACCTGTCAGAAACACGAACCCGGGTCAAGAATCGTGTATAAACTTCTGTTTGAATGATTTTTGGACAGACCCATGTATCGAATTTGCTGTAAAAACCCTAACAGGTGCGATTCCATTTGGGGAATTGAATAAAGTTGACAACTTTCTTCCATCATCTTCACCATTAGAGGTCCCCATGGAAGAGCTTTGGACAGATCCATGTATTGAATTTGCTGTGAAAACTCTCACAGGTGCAATTCCTGTGGTAGGGGAAGATCAAAATCCTGGAAATGGAATTCAAGATTATTTACATCATCAACCTAAAACAGGGAATAATAAGAATAATAAGCAGTTGGATTCAGTTGGAAATGGTGGGTTACAAAAGTCGGGTAATATTGGTTTTCATCAACAAGTTAATGGGAATAGTAATAATGGGCAATGTTCAAGACCCAGGTTCTTTCAGTAGGTAGGTGTTAAAAGTGTTTGTAACTTTTTTTTTTTTAGGTTAAAATGTGCAGGGTGTAGAACAGGTAGGATATGTTAGTTTTAAGGTGTGTGGTGGTGTTTTTGTTGTTGTATGGAGTTTGTAGTCTTTTTGATTTTTGTTGTAAAATGTACTTTCAGATGATAAATGGTTGATAATATGGTTAGAGAAGTCTTGCACCTCATGTAAATTCATATTCTACAAGGGGAAAATTGAGAAATCATTAATAGAGAATTAGGCTTGTTAGTTTTGATTATTATCCGAGCTAAGATAGATGAGGCATTGTTTCCATGTTTGATGTTTTTATCGTTTTTTTTGTCAAAAAAATGTTGGGATAATGATTTTAGATGGTAACATACTATTGTTTTTTGTCACATTTGATCGTTAAACTTTTTACTTTTTTTTAATAGTTATTTAACTTGTTGATTCGTGTAAATTTGTCCCTTATGATCGATATTAGCCGGTTTCAACGATTGAATCGGTCTGAGGTGACTTTTTTATCCTACGTGGCCAATGAAGTGACATCTAGGCCCCGATTTTGCCTCCCCACCTCATTAAAATTAAGAGTGAAGTCTCATTTGGTCCTTAAATTCGATTAGGGCACGAAGTCTCATTAACCCTCGATTTTGTCTCCTTCAATCTTTAACCGGTCTCTATAATGGCTTCATCATAATGCCCCACTGATCGAAACTTCATTGTAGTGGATTTCCACTACAATGGAAAGTTTGCACCCAACCTATTAGTATAATTTTATCCCTTACAGATAATCAGTGAGAGATGTTGACTTCAGTGCATTTGAGTACGAGCAGTTCATGGAATTCCTTCACAAGCTCACTAGAAGTAGAGGCAAAGACATCTACTTCTATTTTCCACAAGAGTCTTTAAGTCAAGGAATTCATACATGGGTGAATGACGGTGATTACAAAGAATTTTTGGATTTGGCTTATGCAAATGAGATGAGAATGAATGTGTATGTGGACCACCAAAATTGAACCAATCTTCAAATGGATTGAGGAAGAGGAAAATGAAGATCAAGACTGCAACAGTGAAGAGGATGAAGACTCAGTCTTGTTGGACACTTATTATGTTGACCATGAAGAAGATGATGTTGAATATCCATTCCTAGCCAACACAACCATGGGTGATAGGTTCTTAAACAAACTTTGTCTACATACAGTAAATATAGATGATGTATATGAAGATGTTGAATATGTTGAACCTCAATACCCTGCGCATGATGATAGACAACCATAGAATCAGATGAAACCACTGTTAGGTATGCGATTTTCTAACCCTGATGAGCTTAAAAACATGTTGAGCAACTATACAGTTACTAATGGATATGATATTTGGTTTGGAAAAAATGACTCCCAAAGGTTATTAGTTAAGTGTTGCCAAAAAAAAAAAAAAAAAAAAAAACAAGTCACCTACTTGTCCATTTAGACTTTGGGCCTCTTGGATGACTAAAGAGAAGACTTTTCAGATAAAATCTCTAGTTATTGAACATAATTGTAGTAGGGTGTTTAAGTTTAGGTCTATAGTAACTTATAAGTGGTTAGACAAACAGCTTATGAGTGAAATTATAGAGAAGCCAAAAATGAGTGTTAGGAAGATGAAAGCTAAGTTTCATCAACATTTAATATAAATGTGAGTGTGGGGCAATGCAGGTCTACTGTGAGGATGGATGTAGACACCATGCTAGATTCCACAACTTTGTTTTCTAAGTACTATGGTTGCTTTAAAGTTGTAGGTTGGAAGGAAGGGTGTAGGTCTGTGATTGGCCTTGATGGTTGCTTTTAAAGGGTATTGTTAGAGGAGAAGTTTTGGCAGCTGTAGGGAGGGATGCAAACAACCACATAGCATGGGATATGGTTGGAGTTGAGAACAAGGACACATGGAAGTGGTTCATAGATCTCCTAATGGATGACATTGATGGTGGTCTTAGTGCAGACATTACCATTCTTTCTGATGGACACAAGGTTTTCTTAAAAATCCCGGTTTTCTTAAAATCCGCTGTAAGTGAGCTACGCTTACGCAATTTTTAATATAGCTTTCAAATGATTATAGTAATGTTATTAGGTCCTTAAAATAATTATTTGGGCTATTATTATGAGTTATATTGAGTGTTATTTAACACTCATATAATAATAATAATAGTTAGACTATTAAATTAGTCTCGGTAAATATTAAACTAAACCGTAGTGGTATTAATACTAGGTTTTGTCGAGGAAAATTGTTTTAAGAGTAACGAAGTGCTGTCCGAGGGCCGACTCACCACCTTCCAGGTGAGTGCATAGTTACTTTCAGCTTACACATAGATATGAAATATTTTATATAAATTACGTGCTATGTGTGCATATTATCTGAATACTTGCTATCTATGCTGGATGAACATTTTTTTTAATGATTTAAAACGTATATGTATTTTATATCTACAATAATGTTGGGGTAAACATGGGTAGATATAATAGATGAAATATGAGTTGAATGATGAGTTGAGAGGTGTTATAGACCACGAGGTGAGGGTGAGAGGTGGACGATGTGAGAAGCCTTCTTCCCACATGATGGCCCCGTTATTCAGCAGAGTATGGGTTACAACCACGGACTATTCTAGACAGTCCAGTGGAACACTAGCAGGCTCGCAACCTATAGGTGTTGTGAACGATGTGTTCACCCGGTGTACTCTAAACCTTGGTGACCATGCAGACTTGGTGCCTAAACCTTGGTGATCATGCAGACTTGATGCCTAAACCCTGGCGACTATGCAAACTTAGTGCCCGATGTGTAAACCGTGGCAACGATGGATTTCTTGCCGATTCCTTAGGATAATCCTTAGGAATGAATGAACGAGGAATACCTGATTCTTAGGGTAGACCCTTAAGAGTAAAGAAGATAATGAGGATAGGTAATTGGGTTGATTGTTTGATTGTTAAACATAATAATCATATTATTGTGGGTTGAAAACCCTATGTACTCACTAGGTTTCCCAACATGACCCACTCAGTTTATTTATATCATAGGTGTTGATATGAAATCACATTACACTGAGAGATTAAAGAGATGTAGATCACTAGTGTAAATAAATGTAAGTTCTGTTTATGCTTATGTTTCTGTATTGACGATGACATCCCAAACGTTTTAAAAATGAATACAATGCATTTATTCGAAAATGTTTTGATAACGTATTTATCGTGTTTTTCTGGGAACAAATTCCGCAACATTTTTATGAAAAAGAAGTAATCTGATTTTTTACAAAGCATAAACAAAATCGGTCGTTTATGGCCGTGATTTTGGGGATGTCACATGCTTGGCTAAATTAAAATTGGTTGACTTTTGTTGAATCCTTTGAACTTTTGTTGAATGTTGAAGAATCCATGAACTTGTTCTTAAATCTTTATGGGAATGTTTTGTGTTTTAATATATTATCACTACTTGTATGTTTTTATTCATAAGTTTAAATATGTTTGTGGTGATTAGTTGGCTAATTTCTTGATTAAGTAAATGATCCTCAAATTAGCAAGCAATAAATGATTCTTATGTTGTTTTTGCTTCACACAATCATAAAAACATTTACTCTAACATGGTAGTGAAAGCATTTAACTCCTCTTGGATTTGGTGACTTTTTGGTTTTTAATGCTAGCTGACTTTCACTAATTACATGCTTAATGGGAATTGTGACTTTAACTAAGGAAATTGTTATGAGTTTCTCTAACCATTTTAACAACTAAGAAAAGTCTAGGTAATCTCAATCTTCTTGGATTACTATAGTCAAATTAATGATTTAAATCAAGTATTGCATCATTGGATTCTAATGATATGTTCATTAAAAGTCAAAGTGAGGAAACCTTAAGTCAACCATCATTCTCTTATTGATTTTACATCAAACTCTTATTTTTGTTGAAATTGTCTATTTAAATCTTAGTTTAATTCTAGTTTATTTCACGTATTTCAAAATATCAAACCCCCCATTTTTAATTTATTATCATTTTACAAGTATTTTTACAAAGAGATTTTTCATAGAATTATAAAATTGAACCAAGCTCCGTGGATTCGAGCCATTTACCACTATACACTATTTTAATGTGTAATATTTAGGGTTATTAATTTTGTTGGCATCGAAAACCACCAGTAGAAGTGGACAGATGCAATATTCTGAAAGGAATTTTAAAATGGCATTGAGGAAGAAGATACCTGGGGTTGGGAGTAGTGCAGAGAACCCTACAGTCCTTGATTAAGTTAGTGTGTAGGTAGTGGGTGGGCACATCTTTAGTTATCAAGTTGTGATGTAAAGACAAAGTACTATGTTTTTTTATGCTTTTCTTTTGGTTGTGTGGGCACATGGCGGCCCTTCTTTTGTGGTCCCTATCAGTAATCTTTTGTCCCATCTTTTGTGAATGCAGACAACTATTTTCCTTTATTTAATTTCGAATATAAATGGAGTATTTCAATGAATCCAACCACCACATTCAATTACTTTCTTGTTATATGTATGCATTGTATTCATTCCATTCAATTACTTTCTTGTTATTTGTATGCATTGTTATCTCAGTGATTCCATTCCACTTAAAATTATTTCTATGTATTCATTACAGTCAAAGAATGGAATCCTATATGTATTCATTGTTATATGTATGCTACTTTGTGATTCCATTCCAGTCAAAATTACAACATTGTGATTCCAGTCCAAATTACTTCTTTCTAATTCCAGTCAAAATTATGTATTGATTGTTATATGTATGCTACTTTGTGATTCCATTCCAGTCAAAATTACTACATTATGTTTCCAGTCAAAATTACTTCTTTCTAATTCCGATCAAAATTACTTCTTTATGATTCCAATCCAACCAAAATTACTTCATTCTACTATAATGTGATTCCAGTCAAAATTACTTCTTTCTAATTCCAGTCATTCCAGTCAAAATTACTTCATTCCATTCCAACAAGAAGCTAAGATAATGCATTCATTCTAAGGATGAGCAGCAGAAGCGGGTACCTGCTTTCGGAACCGGAACCGCCTCAGAACTGCTGGTTCTGGAACTGGAACTGCCTTAAGTGGTTCCGGTTCCAGTTCTTAAATTTGCGGAACCACCTTAAATGGTTCCGGTTCCAATTCTCATTTTTACAAAACCGATACCCGCTGGATACCCGCCGGTTCCGGTTCCAATACCGGGTACCCGAAACCGACGGTTAACCGGAACCGGAACCGACGGGTACCCGCCTATTCTAAATATATATATATATATATATATATATATATATATATATATATATATATATATATATATATTTAATTTTTATATTATTGTTGATGAGATTCAACTAACCTTTAATCTATAAAGATCGATTAGATCTTGAACAAGTAAGTAAACAAAAACGATATAAACACAATAATAAGAACAAGACAAGATGGAATCAAACGTGTCGAATGATTAAACAAAATCCTCTGAAGAGCTCGATTAAGAACATCAACTGTAGAGGATTGGAAGGTTACAAGAACGATCAAAGAAACCTGATATCGTCTAGATGTACCGCTATTCTCGGATCTCTAAAAACCTTAACCTAATATGCATGCAAGCGTAAACTTATATACAAAACATAAAAGGTTCACGGTTGGACAGGCCCAAACCGGAATACAAAAAGCCTTATGCTAAACGAGCCCAAAATACGCAATCTTCAAAAATGATCTCCAGCCCAACAATCTCCCCCTTTGCGTCAATTTGGAGCGAGACCTTTACTAGTTACTGGGGCCAGCAGCTGAAGCAGGTACCTTCTTCTTCACGGTACTCAACAGACATTTGGTGATGGAAAGAATGGTCTGTCTAAACTGGATGTACCAGTTAATCATATCTTCAAAATACTTGACATCATCAGTCGAGTTCTCTTTACACCGTTTGACAATGAACAACACATGCTCCAAACAGGTTGTGGTGTAAAGATGCTTGTCAGCTAAAGCGAAGAGACATTTCTGTCCTTCCGCTCTAGTGAACATAACCGAGTTGCGTCTCGGGTCGATCCTGCCCAGTAGCATTTGATTGAGATCACTGGCCGATCCCACAGGAGCAATTTTGGGTTTCTTCTTGAAGACTGTGGCGACCTCCTGATCCATTAGGGCAACCTCCATGATGTAGCAGACTAACATCCTTTTGACATGGTCTAGAATGGGACCATATTCAGCTTCATTAGTCAAAAGGATATTATACAGGACAATCCAATCATGAGGATTTAGATTCGGTAGATCTGCCAGGGAGATAAGA